GCTTTTATTAGTATTTCAGTTCCTCCTAAGTGTACATATTTAATTGGGTTTTTTGCTTTTATACCTTGTATTTCTTTATTTATTATTCTTTTGTTTATTATTGGTATTTTGGCCTTTCCTTTTGTATATTTATAGTCAATTATATGTTCTTTTTGGCTAACCACGTAGTATTCTTCTTTTTGTCTTTTGAACCAATTTTTTATTGTAGGTACTTCAAATATTTTTTCGACACTGAGGTCTAATTCTTTTCCTTTTATCTGTTCAAATATATTATTANCGAGTAATCATAGTTATGGAGGATTTCTTAAATATATACCATTTTTATTGTCCTTATTATTTTTATTTAAATTCATTTATAATTCAGTCAAATGTAAAAGCTTTTTCATAATATTCTTTTTGTAGTGGAATTAGTCTAATTATTTCTTTTAAGCTTTCTAATATATATTCTATATATTCTATATCTTGGGTTCTTTGGTATTCTTCTATATTAGTTTTTACTAGATTTGTTAGTAATTTTATACTGTCGGTAGTTTGTTGCCAATATTGTAGGTATATATTATTCATCATGTGTTATCAAAATATAAATCTAATTCATATAAGTCTATTTCTGGTATAATTAGTTCTGTCCAATTTTGATCCATTATTTCTATTATTTCAAAATTAAGTAATTTCTCATAAATTATTCTTCTTACATCATTGTCAATATTTTTTAGTATATATAGTATAAGTATTTTATAACTAAGATTATCATCTATTAAGTAAGTGTTCATTTTATCATATGANATAAAGAAAAAATAAAACATCATTGCAGGTATTATTCAGGATCTTATACGGAACCACAAGAAAAATGGGAGATAAATAGAAAAGAATTATTTGCATTATATAAATATTTATTAGCATTTGTACCATATATAGTTTGGTCTGGGTATTTGTAACTGATTAGCTTGCAATATCTTGTTAACAGTTCTAGAGAGCTAAGGTGGGTTTGTTGAGAAATAGAAGAAAAGAGGGTTTATACCCTGATGTCATCGTTGGAGACCCCGTAATCGAGATTAGATACAAATAGCTTAGTCCCATAATCCCACTCTGACCCTCCAACCATCATCTTGTCTGGCTCTGGAAAACACTGCAATATTTTTCAAGAATATTAGTTTTACAGGCGAGAAAGAATATGAATAGGAACAGCCTGGTACCTGCGGCATTGAGTAGGGCGTCATTCTGCAACGGCGACTTGGTCCGCCCCTACAAGTCCCAGAACCATAAACCCGCACACTGCGGCGCTTTTGATCTCTGGAACGTCGTCCACCGTTGCCCTTTTGTTTGTTTTTCTTGATGATATCATCCAGCGACATGTCCATTGTGGCACACCGGAGGAGAGAAGGGTTTTTAGAATAGTAAAATAATGTGATTGAGGACAATGGGCCAGCCTTATAGAGTAGTACAGCAGAGAGTTGAGTAACAGCTGGCTGCTCAGTAAAAAGCAACCACCCTCGATTTTACTGTGAAATTATCTACAGGTTATAATTAGTGACGGATTTATATCTGATTTGAAACTATTTTTTGTTTTTGTTTTCTTCGAACACACGGGCATAATCTTAGGCTCTTAGCAACTCCAAATGGACCGATTGCAAAAGAAAGTTAGTCAAAAAAAGAAGGTTAAAGCGGTTTAACGAGACTCAAGTAATTATTTATGTATACCGAAATATAAGGTGCCAGTAACTCTAATGAGACGCTAGTAACTTATTCTAGTAGTAGTATATGAACAACTGCATGCCCACAACCTAGCGAGAACGTGAATCTGCATATTGTAACATTAAACCTCATAGACATAAATTTGGCCACAAACAAAATGAATAACATGCAATTCCATATTTACATATATATTGCATGCAAACAGTATATGGAATAGGACAACTAGTTATATTAGGGAAACATCTAGAGGGGTGTTGAGGTCTCGAAGGATAATGTTGGTGATCATCGAGAGGATTGGTGGTGGAACAAAGAGGTCCAAGGGAAAGTAAAAGCCAAGAAGGTCGCTTACACGAAGTTAGCGTAGAGAAAAGACGGGGAGGATAAGCGGACGCATAGGGATAGGTATAAGACGGCGAAGAAGAAGGCGAAGTTAGTGGTTACGACGGCAAAAACGACGGCGTTTGAACGCTTATATGAAGAACTTGGGGATAAAGGGGGGATAGGAAGTTGTACAGGCTAGCCAAGGTGAGAGAGAGGAGAGCCCGAGATCTAGATCAAGTGAAATGCATCAAAAGACGAGGATGACAAAGTATTGATGGAAGAGGCACACATTAGACGTAGATGGTAGACATACTTCCATAGACTCTTGAATGATGAGAGGAACAAGAACATTGTATTGGACGATTTGAAGCACTCTAATAATCTTCATAATTGTGGGTATTGTAGGCATGTAAAAGTTGTGTTCGTTGAGGGGGCTACGCGTAAGACGAGCAGCGGTAGAGCGACCGGGTTAGACGAGATCCATGTTTACCTGTAAAACGGTACAATTAAATTTGTTACGTAATTTATAGACAAGCGAACTGATTTGATCCAAAAATGATAAAGAGGTAAGATTAAAAATGAGATTTAGCAATTGAAATTGAAAAAAATAACAAGCCTGGCTCCGAACATAATGCATCCGAGGACAAAAATGAATGCAATGATAAAGAACAAGTAAAGTTGTTTAATTAAGAGCAAAAGTAAAATACAGCATATGTTTGCAAAGAATTTCGTGTCTTAAATGACTACTGAGCCTGTTATTTATAGTTTTACCTAGGGAAACAAGATCCTAGGATTAAGCTTCTCTTAAATGATCATAAACGAGTCATTGATGAATATGTAACGGCAGGCCATGAATACAAATATTCTCTGCAACGCTCGCTAATTTAATGTTAGAGAATATTCCCTCATTGAATGATATCTGGTGGCAAACCCTCGATCTCCTCCCGTTAAATATGCTCCCTTCGGAATTTACCCGGTGTCGGTTACGTTCGTTGTGTCTGATATTGGTCATTGTCTGACTTGCCTTTTTCTTACTTTCGGTTACACGTGTCATGCTACCATTCGGCCATATGTTATAAACCAATTTTACCCCATACAGATAGTCCCCCTACTTTCTGGTAACACATCTTAGTGTTACCGGGAAGCTGGTGAAGATGTCTTTGTTGGAGGGAAAGTTCCTGAACAGTCTCTGACGCTTGAAAGGACGCACCTTTTCTCGCATTTAATACCCCGAACACGTGTTGCTCTACAATTCAGAAAATATTTTTGCCTGTTCTCGAGGTAATCATGACCACAATATTTGCCATCTATAACTCTCCTTCTACTCATTAGTTTTACTTCTTTACTTCCAAAATTTTCATAAGTCTTTATTCTTCCTTGCATTTGCTTAGAAAGTTTTCCATCTCCTCCAACTTTCTTAGCAAAACTTTTACCGACCTTTTGCCACCATGGCTTCTTTCGCTACTTTCTTTGGAAATACTATTCTTCTTTCCGGTGGAGGCCCAAAGGAAAACAAGGACAAAGAAGCAGATGTTGATTCAAAACCTCCCACTGTAAGCACCATCATACCACAACATCTTAGCACTGCTAACAACTTTCAAGAGAATGCCACTTCTGCATCTTCGCGGACTTGGCCTGTTAGTAGATCTCCCTCCTCCATTCGCCCTTCTAGTATCCCTACTATGAAGGAGGACTGCAACTGCCCCAATCTTGAAATCCTTGCTCCGAATTTGATAGAGCGGGTTACCTTCACCAAGGAGGGTTTTACATATGTCTATGCGTATCCCTTTACCTTGGGTCTATTCTCCCTGGGATCGAATGAAGGGCTCGACCCCATAATTTTGGAGTTTTGCCACCGGTACCGTGTCTGTGTAGCACAAGTAGGCCCATCTATATGGCGAACGGTGTCTTTCCTCTACCAACTGTGCATGGAGAACAGGGAAACCCTAACCCTTGCACACATGATGAATCTTTACTCTTCCTACGTTTTCTGCGGGGGAGTAATATACGTCAGCAAATGGCTACCACTATCTTCTTACCAGTGTGGATGATGACAACGACGTAGGTGGATGGAGCGATTCATCATCATTGCTACCAGAGACATCATCCCGGCCACAACTCCATCTTTTCTTGAGTCGTCGAATTGCTTTCTTAAGTTTTCGATTATTCATTTCTTTCCTTAGTGAAAAAAATTATTTTTTCGTTGTTGCTGACCTTCTTGTGTTCTTTTGTTCCAGCTACCCAATTGGAACCACCACGGGTTTAAGGCCTGGATCAGTGGGTTCAGAAAATTCTGGAAATCACGACACCATAATTCCGTCGGTGGAAAGAAGTGGCCCTTAAATATGGGTGGAAGGACAAGAATCATGGTAAACCAAGTCCTTCTTCATTTTATCCTTGTACGAACATAGGCAATTTCATGAAATAATTACTAACTCCATTCTTTGCTTGACACAGGACTTCTGCAGGGCTCTGTCATTCCCCAAAATCGACATTTTAGAGGACCCCCGAGGAGGCTAGAAAGGTGTTGCAAAGTGCCCTTGCCCGAAGCAGAACTCACAGATCTACTTCCGATGAGGGTGCCTCCTCTCGGAGTCCCCAACCCGAGAACAAGCAACCAAAAAGATGATGCTCTTCCTCTGCTGGGACTCAAAAGAAAAATATAAAGAACACATCGACCGTTCCGGCCACGGTCACAGTGGTCCTCGATGATGAATGGGAAGCTAGTGATGGAGAGGCTTCCCTTAGGAGGAGGAAAAGATCTTCATCAGCTCAATCGGATGCTCAACCGGGAGAGCTTCAAAACTCAAAATAGTGAAAAATGGGTCAAAATTCAACTTAAAACCCTTTTTCCAGGCCTCTTGCATCTGCGGCCCTCAATGTCGCTTCTGTGACAAAACTCCTAGCATCTGCGAGCTTCACTTAAATGATGATCCTTCGAACATGTATGAGGTCAGAAAGTGGCTACACCTTTCATTTGACTTGTGCCACCTGTCCCACCGGGTGCAACGATTGGGGTGAGGCGGCCCATTTTGCATATAGGAGAGATGGAATTCCTAGACTTGGTATAATATAAAAGGTAGTGCAAATCTCTTCTCCTTCATTCCAGAAGGAATTACTCACTTTAGCTAACTTAAAATGCTCTCAAACCCCTTTTAAGAAGTTCACACAAAATCTAAAACTGAATCAAAGGCGATGTAAGTAGGATTTAGCGTGAAAAAGTTTTGGATCATCACTGTCATACTTCTTAACAATGTAGGTAAGGCATCCTTCTTTCTTGGCATGATTTTGGTGTAAGTGTATCTTTCTCTCTCTCTCTCCCTCTCTCTCTATCTAAAGGATCTCTGTGTTATAAGACTGGTTTGTCCTAAACCCTTCCCAACAAAGTTGGTTATGTTCTTGTACATTGCCGCTGGCTGTAATTCTTTCAAGCCTGGTATATTTCCAGAAAGTGTTCTGAGGTTGGAAAACATGATTAAGTCTGAGTCTAGTCTTGATATTCCCTGACATTGATCATACATTTCACTTATATAT